CACTCTGCTGTTATGCCAAGGACGTTTTTGCTCATGTGAAGAGGATGATCTTTTCCGTCTATATGCGAATGCGTGTAAAGTACAAGCCTAGTTTACATTATAAATAATAGTTTAACATTCAAATATATTACGAATATGGAAACAATTGGATTTGTGCCGAATGAGACGTGAGCAATAAGCTCCAAACCCATCTAGTCAAACCCGTGCTCGCTCCGTCCTCGTATGCACGCAAGCATGCACTGTCACGATCTAAAGCACTGTAGGCCTAAATGCCGGATTTTTAAAAACAAATAGGCCTACCGCAACGCAAAAATTCAAAATCTGACATTTTCCGGAACAGGATCCAGCAGGATCAAATTAAGTACTGGTCATAATACTCACATGATAATGTTTCATGTGAGCAACAGTGTGTTTTGCTACAGCAGCGCCGATGGAAGCGGTTCACTGACTGCGCAGCACAGCCACACGCGCCAGGAAATGATCGAAAATTGACATCCCTAGTGCAGGCTGATGGGTCCTCAACGCAAACCGATGATATTCACAGCGTTAAACTACTTGGCACAAGCTGATTGGTTCATGTTGCATATGCAGCCAGTGAGCTTGCTGCTTTAAATTTAAATGGCTGTTTAGCATTTACTAGAGCATTTCGCAGCGCGCTTTCAGAGTTCCTCTGAAACGCTCCACCTTCCCCAGCTCCACCTGTATAGATCTGCTACGGGTTATTTAATATGCTATTTGTGCAGCAGCAGTATTCTTAAATACTCACAGCATATGTATTGACAGCAGCAAATTCCTGTACTTGCTTGCAGCAGCAGCCGCAGCAATAATCAACAACAGCAATAACCAGCAGCAGCAGTTATTTAGCAGCGTAGCAAATCTATTCCGCCAAGACCAAAAACATTAACATTGTCACATCCATTACCATGCTAAAATCTTCAGAGAGTTGTTGTTGATAGAAATGAAGATATATTTAACAAACCTGAGACTTCTGTCTCTCTATTTAAAGTTCATTCCACCTAAACTTTTACAGTACATTATAACAGAAATCCATATAAATGATGACAGAACTTTAATTTTTTGGTTTCTAGAAAGAAATGCGTACAGGTTTGGAACAACATGAGAGTGAGAAAATTATTATTTATAATTTTGAACTATCCCTCTAAGACCAGTTTGAGACCCCTACTGACACCTGGGATAGAAAAATAAACTGAAGGAGCCCCAGAAAAAAGAGAGAACAGCTGCAAAAAAGAACAATTGCGTTTGATTGGACTGATGACTGGCAGGAGAATGGTGATGCGACTGGATGGTAATTACTAGGAAGTCGTGGCCTAATGGTTAGAGAGTCGGACTCGTAACCCAAAGGTTGCGGGTTCGAGTCTCGTACCGGCAGGGATTGTAGGTGGGGGGAGTGAATGTACAGCGCTCTCTCCCACCTTCAATACCACGACTGAGGTGCCCTTGAGCAAGGCACCGAACCCCCAACTGCTCCCCGGGTGTGTTTTTAGCAAAAAAAAATGGCTGCCCACTGCTCCGGGTGTGTGTTCACGGTGTGTGTGTGTGTTCACTGCTGTGTGTGTTCACTTTTGATGGGATAAATGCAGAGCACTAATTCAGAGTATGGGTCACCATACTTGGCCACATGTCACGTCACTTTAAATTGAGTCGTCTTCTTGGTCAGTATGGTCACAGAGTTCAGGACTGATAGGAAACTCCTGTCTGTGTGATGGAAAGAGTTTAATGTATACAGCATAAGGGCTACAGACAAAACGGCTCTACAAATTAGGTTAAAAGTATGAGGAGGAAGTTAGGCACAAACTAAAGGAAAATTTAATTGCAGGGGAAGCAGGAGAAAAAGAGTTCTAAGCAAAATTAAATAAACAAACAGCCTGAGGTGTTCAAATCAGCTATTGAGATCAGAATCCATTAGATCTCTGCATTACCGCGCAAGAGCTTCAAGACAAAACGACCACATTAAAAAGCAAATGCACTAGAGCTAAATGTACTAATTCCAGTCTGCTCTCCAAAAGCTATTCAATATGGCTCTTGAAGGGGGAATGAATTTATCCGTAATAATGACTAAAGCATTTGTGTGGGAGGTAACTAGGGAAGGCTGTTTTGTAGTAATCAATACCAGACTCTTAGATTTCCTCAAAAAGCACACAATCTCCTGGGTAGAAGTAAAATTGACTTTTTAATACCAAAATTACAGCACATCTGATTATGCTTCTAACATTCATTGAAATAAATATCAAACAAAAATTGCAAGATTTTTGCCATAACTTTATAAAAGCCTTCCATTCTATCTGCTGTTTGACATTAAAAATTATGGCATTATTGCTTAACTGTCTGGAATATTTCATCCTGACTGATCGATCGTTGCACTCTGAAGTCAAATATTTTTGTATAATGGCCGCTAAACTGCACTGTCCATCGGCCCAACCAATTTCTTACATAGCTGCATCTCTTGAATCACTCTTTGACCTCTTCAACTCAGACTCAATATTTCAACTAAAATCTATATTCCATGTCCATTCATTCATTTATCTGGTAAGGAACCGTTTAATGAACCGCCAGCAGTTCATTAATGCAAAATAGTCAACACTGGGTTATGCAAAATTTTATCACCTGACCGTGGGTTTATTTTGTAATAATGTCCATCTGACTGCACATTGTCTTATAATTCAAATTTTAAGTGTTGAAGGGGGTAATTCACAATAAATTATTGTTGACAGAAAGCATGAACTAAATGAAAATATTTGAATAAAATTACAGCTATAAAAGAAAAACAAAATCTCTGTAGCACAGAGAGTTGTTGCTTGAGCCTAGTATTTTCCAACCATTTCAATCAGCATCTGTAGTTTCTGGTATCACTCCGTTTGGCTCAGACCTGGTTCTGATTCAGGATCACAGCAAAAGTTGGACCTACTAGAACAATACTGATAGACTGGACCATTTACCCTGGCAGTAAACCTAAAATTAAAAACTCAAATATTGACCTTCAAGATACAGATGTACACGCATGAAAAACATATTCATATCCAATTATATCACACATTCATCAAAGTACAATTAGGCCTGAAACTCAGGTCCACAGGCAACATCAACCCTGCGGTGAAAGAATTGAGAGGAATGGCTCACAGGGCCCACTGTGTCGTAAAAAGGCAATGTCCTGTTGAGATTTCAATTAAAATGAGGCTGAAAATATTAGAATCAGTAATTGAGGCCATTGCTTTTTATGGCAGCGAGGTGTGTGGTCCACTAAAAAACCAAGAACTCGTCAAATGGGAAAAACACCCAACTGAGACATTGCTTGTTGAATTCTGTAAAAAAAAAATTAAAAAAAGTATATGGAACTCCAGAAAAAATGCATGCAGGGGATAATTAGGCTGATATCCATTAACTATGATGACACAAAACAGGCAATTAAACTCTGAAACCATTTAGAACTTAGTGGTCTCCAAACATACCAGTATAAAATCCTGTAAATTCAAGAGTTTAGCAAAACATGCCTCTCACTACAGACAGAGGTTCAAGAGCAGAATAATCATGTGATTGGACTAAACCACACTAGAACACAAATGAAATTTGACTAAATTAAACACACTGGGAAACCTAACCAAATGCAAAGTTATATGGCCCAGAAATGTACACTTGTCCTCTGTGAAAAATGGGAATCATCTTGACTAGGTCCACACTCAGCAAACAACCCAGCAACGAGAACAAGCAGGCTGAAAACATGGCAAAATAAACAAAGAACAAGATAAATGGTTGTTCTTATATAGCAAACCAAACAAAACTGAGTCAGAGTTGTATTTCACTATGACTCAATGCACAAAGTTCAATGAAAACTGCAAAAAAGTATTTACAAATATCACAATTTAACAACTAAATAGCTTCCCTATAATCGGCAGAACAAAAAGAATGCTGTAGAGGCAGCACCATACTTGCCACTGTATGAGGGACAGTAGGTAAGCAACCTGATGACAGAATTTTTCATTTTTGGGTGAACTATATCTTTTATGAATTTTTTTCAAATATTTTTTAATGAAAAAATAAAACTCTGTAATAAACACTTGTGTCCTAATTGTTTTATATAAGCACTAAGGTACTCAAGGCTGTGCTGTATTATTCACAATTTAGCAGTCTGTTGTACCTTACTGCTTAATTAAAATTTTCTCCTTTTTATTTTGTATTTTCCTTTTAATACTCACTGACTCATTCTCTTTGGCAAATGCACCATTACTTGTCATGCCAATGAAGCCCATTGAAACATTCAAAGGGAAACAGGGGGAGGGAAGGGACTGCAGAAGTCCAGAGAGAAACACAAGCATCCGGGGGAAGGCACATTTTTGGCTCTGTCAGACAGTTTCAAAAGAACAATGCAGTGCACACACACAGACTCCAATGTTAACCATCAGAGACCCACTGTAGTAATATCATTTTTTTTCATTCATGCAAAAGTCAACCCTGTAAAATCATGTTCAGCTTAGCTGAATAACACTCTTAAGAAGTACGTATTGAAGTTTCAACAATCTATTTTAGGGAGAACTTCTATATTAAGATGTAGGCCTCTAAATATGCCTTCAGTAAGGGGAATTTGGCTCAGTAGGCTTCTTAAAAACAGTTTAAAGGCAAAAAAGTAGAGAGAGTGCCTAATGAAGGAAACGGAGGAATTCCTTGAAGAGAATTTCTTTGTCAGCCATCCTTTCTTGTTATTTGTCATGCCAATAAATCAAACTGAAATTGAAAAACTCAAAGAGAGAGAGAGAAAAAGATGGAAAGAGAGGGGATTTGTGCTGTTTGTTGGCCAAGAATAATGTGAATAATGTCAGAATAATGTGCAAGGTAAGAGAGAGATGAAGAGAGGGGCAGGGAACATCAAAAAGACCAGATCAGTGTGACACCAGCTACAAATGACAAAACACAGAGATACACTAATTAAGAACAAAAATGACACATTATTTTAATAGAATATATTTTCAACTCTACATGAGTACATAGACCAATAATTAAGAAATACCAGAATAACACAACGCATCCTTCGTGAACGACTTGAGAGTCTACTTCGGACAGATTGACAAACTTCATATTGGATTGTACACAGAAAACGAGTACAAAAACTGACAAAACACACACACAAGTGCTGCCAATCCCTGCTGTTTTAGCTGTATAGCGATCAAAGAGAAAGGCTGGAAAAAACAAGCTCTGTGATTTCCTGTGATACTCAAGAGACTGGCAGAGAGACAGAGAGGGTTTGTGGATAGAGACCAGGCTGGACAGGATGGCAAAACGAAAACAAATCAGCAAACTTTTCTACAACCATTTTCACTCGTTATATGCTTCTTTCTTTCTCTCTCTCTTCTGTTTGTTTTTTTTATTTTTTTGTCACATCAGGATTCATTGACTCATTATCTTTCCTCTGTCTCTGTCAGTGCTTCAGCTGACGTCGCACCTGCAATCTGCGACTGTTATTTCAGTCAGCAAATTTCTAAACTTCTTGATGAGCACAAGCCTCAAAGTTAACATGAAATCACATTCACAACCTTTTGATTTCTTTGTCACTCAGAAATAAATTTAATGAGAAAATAAATTATTTTATCCATCATGAATTGAAAGTGGGCATCCTATATGAAAAACTATGAAAGATCTAAATGCAAGACCTATTTCTACTGTTATTTGCAATTATTCCTGTAACCTTTACTGAATGAATGTTAACCAGCATTAAACTACTGTGTTAACTTGAATCTGAAAGGCTGTAGTATGTACATCAGGGGCCAAAAACAATGTTTCTTCTATTTTTTGAGTCTTGTGCACCTCCACAGGCCCATTAGTAAGACCACACCAGAAATGTGTTTCTTTAAACTTCAATTAAACTGGTAATCATTCAGCATTATGATTAATATAATTAAAGTGTGTATTATTACAATGATACTCTTTCAAAAACAAATCAATACTAAGGCTGCAAAACAGACTCACCAAGTAGCTTCCTCTCCCTTTAATGAGACACCTGAACTTGTTTTTCTTTAACAAGTTTTGACAGTTCTGGAGGCAAATATATTTGACGTTGTATTGATGTGAAGAAGAGAGAAGCGCAAGAGTAACGTGTAAAGTGTAGAAGCGCAAGAGTAAAGTGCACTGCTGCAGAAATCTACATTTTAGATCTACAATCTAGTCTTTATATGCACATATAGTTGACTATAAGTGTGATTCAAACAAATGGCTGAATCCAAATGTTACGCAATATTTTGTTTCCTACCTTTAAACTCAAGTTAAGTTGACATTTACACAGCTTTCACAGGGTACACATAAAAAAAAACACAAAAACACAAAACAAAACAAAACAAAAAACAATAAAAACACCAAAATAACAAATCAAAACACAACACAACACAACACAAAACAAAACATACCTGCACAGGCTGTCCTCATAAGCGAGGAGAGGACGCCGTCTGTCCACTCATTGGTGGAGAGGTTGTATTCTCCGTACAGCTCTCCCAGGGTCACTGCCTTGGGGTTTAGTGGACACTCCTAAAGGGCCATGAGCAAAGTTCAAAGGTCAGAATTCAAAGAAGGAGAGAACGATTCAACTACAGGAGAGGAATCAAATAGAGGTGGAATCATACAGCAATGAGACACTGATACACAGGAGACTCAAGGGTGTGTGTGTGTGAGTGTGTGTGTGTGTGTGTGTGTGCGTGTTATATGGAGTGGAGGTAATGAGGAAACAGGGTGAGGCGATGTTTGCATGGAGAGTTAGAGATAGGCACCAGAAATAGATATGCAAAGAGGGGGGGTTGAGTCAGATATGAAAGAGTGAGGAGACAGGCATCGAGAGATGGAGAGACAGAAGGAAGGAGGGAGAGAGAAAGGGAGGATGCAAATAGAAATGGCAGCTTGAGTCACAGAGAGAGCAGAGAACAAGATGGACCCCCAAAATGTAAAGAATTACACACACTAGGCAGAAAGTATCTAGAGACGTTAACCAACAGAGATTTAGAATCACACACACTCATATGCTAACACCAGGACACCAAACCCACACAGACAGTCACCACAGGTACCCAAACCCACAGAGAATTAGACAGTGACAGGGACAGGGGTGAAAACATTGGAGGGAGAGAGCGAGAATTTGGCTATGTTCAGAATGGAACACTACATTACTACTTACTGAATCCTACACTGTATGTAGTGTACTCTTACTACAATTTTAAAAATAGTACATAAAAAGTTTATGGAATAAGTTCGGAATAGGACAGTATACTTACTAAAAATGAGAAACATAATGCAGTATTTTAGAATATGTTTGGAAAGGAAAAGATTGCGACAGAGAATATTATGCAATAGTATCATACATTGTTGTCACTTGTCACATGACTTTCAGTGAGTGCAATACCGTGATCATCAAATCAGCATATTAGAATGATTTCTGAAGGATCATGTGACACTGAAGACTGATGAAAATTCAGCTTTGCATGACAGGAATAAATTATATTTTGAAGTATATTAAAATAGAACATCATTATTTTTAATTGTAATAATATTTTACAATATTACAATTTTTCCCCTTATTTTTCATCAAATGCAGCCTTCGTGAGCATAACAGACTTCTTAAAAAAACATTAAAAATCTTACTGTTCTCAAACTTTTGAACAGCAGTATATATATCACAGGAATAAAATATAAACATTTTACAATATATTACATTTTAAAATACATTAAAATAGAAAAAATTATTTTAAATTGATCTATAAATTATATTTATTTTTATTTTATATCAAATAAATCCAGCCTTGGTTTATAGCCAAGTATATAATAAACACACACATTTGTAATATGTTAGGTGATAACTGGAAGCCACTTATTCAAGGTTATGTGACAACAATGTATTCTTCTTCCTTCTTTTTTTTAAAAATCTGATTGTTTTTTCCCCCCACCTTTTTATATAGCGCTTCATAAAATACAGATTGTTTCAAAGCAGCTTTACAGGGATAAACAGGAAAATAATGATTCAGTGATGACACATTAATTCTGCTGTAAAAAAAAAACCCTCATTGTTCAGCTGTTCTCAACATTTTGTAATTGGTAATGTGTTATTCTCAATACTAAAAGAAAAAAATATTCTGTCACCTGACCTCATTATGTTAAATGTTTAATTTAGCAAGTAATGCCGAGTTCACACTGCACGATTTTAGCCCGATTTTTCACTCGCCGACAGGTTTTGCAAAATCGCCGACAAATGCCCGACATCGGAGGCAAATCGGTGCTCGTTCACGCGAGTGACACCCCATTTCTAGTCCCAGCAGAGGTTAATTCCAACTCTAATTAAACCCACCTGAATAAACTAATCAAGGTCTTTAGGGTTCCTTGAAAATTGCAGCCAGGTGTGTTAGAACACGGCTGGAACTAAACTTAAAAAAAAAACAGTAAGAGAAGTATACTATTCCTAACATGTTATAGGGTGCAGTACAAAAGGGGGAAATTTGGATGACATCTAAACAGAGAAACAAGAGACTTTGACAACATCAACAAAGCATAAAAACAGTCTGTCAGACCTCACCTGCATCTCTCTCTCACACACACAGGAACATCATTAAAGAAGGAAAACCTGAGAAACACATATGCCCACCCACGCCTACCCCTCTCTTCTATTTTTACCCCCATCAGGATGAGACACGTGAAAAGGGTTACAAAGAATGAAGGAGATGAGGAAAAACAACAGAAGCGAAAACAAAAAAGATCAGAACAAACATGAACGCTAAACACACGGTTTTAGACATGAGGAGTCTCAGCCGACTGGGTGAAAAGACGACTGTGTTAAACGCACAGCGTGGAGTGGCGCTCCTTTAGCCGCAGCCAAACCAACTGTGAAAAGAAAGAGATCATAAGCTGTGGCAATTAGCGCTAGCTGCCGTCTTGACTACGCCATCATTTTGAAAACACCCACGAGTGAGCCGAGAGTCTGTCAGGGGGGCTTTTAATGAGTGTTAAGTCCTTGTTGCCACATGTTCTCTAAACAGCGAAGAGTGTTTAAGGGAAACACTGTTGTCTTGGTGGTAAATGTATCGGGTGCTGAATAAGCGTGGCCGCTGACGGCGGTTCATTTTCATGGTAATGAGGGATAGAAGATTGGCGTAGCCTTTTAGGCTCTAGAACAGCTGCTGCAAAGACATTTGTTTCAGAGGCAGGCTCTTTGCCCTTAAAACTACTCATGAATGGAAACACTAGTTACGTACGTAACTGTGGTTCTGTGAATTCCGGATGACTGCCAGAGGCGGTGCTTAAGCACTAGTGGATTATCGCAGCGCCAGCTCGATAGGTTGAGATAATATACCAAAAAAGTCAAGTGGTGACGTAGGCTGAGCCTCGAGTATAATAGACACACTAGCTCAGCCTTCAGTCTCGATATACCTTTCTCGCGCATTCCGAGTGACAAATAACTCTGGTGGTGGAAGCGGTGCTTAAGCCCTAGTGGATGACTCCTACCAACATAGTCATGAGGAATGCCACTCACCTGAAAAAAAAAAGTTCAAGGTTGCTCCTGAAGAACTGCTGAACTGACAGCATGAGGGGCAGCAACGTTGAGCTTGTAGAAGTGGGCAAAAGTACATGGGGAAGCCCAAGTAGCAGCAGCACAGATATCTGCTACAGAGACTCCTCTGAAAGCAGTCCAAGATGTAGACACAGCCCTAGTGGAATGACAAGAGATACCCTCTGGCAAAGGTTTTTTGGGCCTTCTTGTATGCCAAAGAGATAACCTCAACAATCCAATTTGATAATCTCTGCTTTGAAACAGCGGTCCCATTCCTTGCACCACCATAACAAACAAAAAGCTGATCTGTGCTCCTAAAATGAACGGTAGCAGTCACATATTCCTTCAAGGCTCACACAGGACACAAAGGGTGATCCCCTAAATGTTCTGATCGTGTTGCTGACTGAAAAGCTGCTAAACTGATTGACTGATTTATAAACTGCGGAAGCAGAACTTTAGGTAGAAAAGAAGGATTTGGTCTGAGCACAACACCAGAATCATCCGGTAACCAACGCATACATAACTCACTAACGGACAACGCATGTAACTCACTTGCACGCTTAGCAGATGCAATTGCCAACAAAAAAGCAGTCTGCGAAGGCTCAAATGGTGGCAGACAGACAAAATCAAGAACAAGTTGCAAATCCCATCCAGGAAAATGGGGGTTACGAGCTGGTCTCAGCCGTCATTGCACCCTTCAAAAAACTGCACACGAGATTATGAGAACCAAGAGAAGAACCATTAACACCATTAACCGGAACATCATGCGCACCTGTATACTTTCAGCGTGGAGGCTGCTTTGCCTGAATCCAAAAGATTCTGTAAAAAAATAAGAACTCCAGGAGCTTCACAGCGTACAGGATCTAACCCACGCTCCTCTCACCATGACGAGAAAATCCTCCAACGAGCTGCATAGAGCTGACGTGTGGATGCAGCTCTAGCACTAATTATGGTATGAACAATGGCGGGCTGACAATCTGTTAAGAGACAGTCAGCCCCAGAGGCCAAACCCAAAGCTGCAGACGGGCCGGATCTGGATGCCAGACAGTGCCGTTCATCTGTGACAACAGATCCTTCTGCCATGGCCTGCCCACCAACAGAGACAGAAGCATGGGGAACCAAGGCCTGGCTGGCCATCGAGGTGCTGCAGCAACACTCTGTGGTTGCAAAGAGATATTCTGTGTAATGTGTCCCACAGAAGCAGAAGAGGAGGAAAAGCATAAAGCAGACAGTTTGGCCACTCGTGAGACCTGCCCCAACGGGCTGGATGTCTCTGTTCTTGCAAACCACAAGTGACAGTGAGTGTTCGCCTCTGTTGCAAAAAGATCAACTTCTGCTTTGCCAAACTGTTCCCATATCCTCTGCACCCCATCCTGGTGAAGCCTCCATTCCCCTGGGTGCAGAAGATCCCTTGACAGAGCATCTGCTATCTGATTGCTCGATCCCGGGAGGTGAACTGCCCTCAATGATGCTAGTCGAGGAAGAGACCAAGTGAGTATCTTGTGGGTGAGATGCAGGGACTTGAGAGACTTTAGCCTCGTTCAGACTGTCAGCCCAAATCCGATTTTGTGCATATCCAGATGGAATCTGATTTGAATAACTGACTGTCCACACAGTGTATCGCAACTGTTCAAATCCGATGTGTGTGTCCATAAGCGCTCTTTTGTTTTACTGAATGTGCCTTGGTTACTATGGCGATGCCGTTGCGTTGTTATGCCTACGCTAAAAACAACAATAACAGCAATACAGTTTGCAATACAGATATTGTCTTACGACATGACAACATGTTGTCGTCGTGCTGGATTATTATTATTATTATGGATTTCGTCTTATGAGGCAGCATCAGAAATGCAGGAAGCTAGAATGTGCGACTTTATTCCGTGCTGCCATCTCCGCTGGTTTCAACACTCAAAGAGGTGAGTATACTAGCAGTATATTGTCTTTTTCCGCTTGACTTACAGTTCGCAACAACACAAGCTTGTTTAATACAGTTTGCAATACAGATATTGTCTTACGACATGACAACATGTTGTCGTCGTGCTGGATTATTATTATTATTATGGATTTCGTCTTATGAGGCAGCATCAGAAATGCAGGAAGCTAGAATGTGCGACTTTATTCCGTGCTGCCATCTCCGCTGGTTTCAACACTCAAAGAGGTGAGTATACTAGCAGTATATTGTCTTTTTCCGCTTGACTTACAGTTCGCAACAACACAAGCTTGTTTCTGCAAAGATATTTATTATGTTTTCTACAAAAACGTCTGACGTGTTTATGTTTTACGTGGCGTGAGAACGTGAAAAAGCTATGCTAAATCCGATCTGAGTGGTCAGACTGAAATGGATTTCCAGGAATGCGATTTGAATAGAATTCCAAACCACATACGAATGTAGCTCGAAATGGATTTGCACAAATCGGATTTCATGTAGTTCGTTGCCGTTCAAACTATCTAAATATGATCGGATTTCAATCGGATTTGCACAAAAATCGGATTTGGGCTGACAGTCTGAACAAGGCTTTTGTTCCACCTTGATGGTTCAGGTGAAACACTGTCGAGGTGTTGTTGGACCGAATGAGGACATGATGACCTGACAGAACTGGCAAGAAATGCTGCAGGGCTAGGAAAACGGCACGCAACTCCAGAAGATTGATGTGGTCCCTGGACCGAGCTGGAGACCACCGGCCACAAACGCCCCTGTGATTCCATGATGCCCCCCACCTGAAGAGGGAAGCATCGGTCGTGACGACCTCTCGACGAGAAGGAATGACCCCTAGGGGAACACCTGACATCAGAAACTCCCGGCGATTCCACGGTGTCAATGCCTGGACACAACTGCGCGAGACAACAATCAGCTGTTGAAGATGTCTTACAGGGCTCAACCACAAACTGTTGTTCCACCAATGCAGATGCCTGAGGTGGAGCAAACCGAGTGGAATCACAGAAGTGGCAGCGGTCAGCATCCCCAAGATTTGTAACAGCGTCTTGTACGGCAAGCTTGCACCCAGGTGGAAACAGGCAAGGAGCTGCAGAATACTGCCCACTCGAGCATGTGAGAGGGGCGATTCCACGGTGTCAATGCCTGGACACAACTGCAACAACAATCTACAACTACAACAATCAGCTGTTGAAGATGTCTTACAGGGCTCAACCGCAAACTGTTGTTCCACCAATGCAGATGCCTGAGGTGGAGCAAACCGAGTGGAATCACAGAAGTGGCAGCGGTCAGCATCCCCAAGATTTGTAACAGCGTCTTGTACGGCAAGCTTGCACCCAGGTGGAAACAGGCAAGGAGCTGCAGAATACTGCCCACTCGAGCATGTGAGAGGGTGGCAGGCATTACACGGGAGTCCAGTGTCATTCCAATGTAAGTTATTGTTTGCACTGGATTCAGACAACTCTTTGCCTCGTTGACTGCAAGACCCAGCTGCTGCACATGCTCCAAAAGCAGCCTGGTGTCGCGGACAGCTTGTTGTTTCATGGGTGAACACAGCAGCCAGTCGTAAAGGTAAGGCAGGATTCGCATCCCTCTGGACCACAGTGGATATAGAGCTGCAGTCATGACAATCAATTAGAACTTGAAAGTAAGCATCTTTTTTTTAAATCGATGCTTGTGAATCAATCTTCCCTTTTTACTGACCGAAGAACGTCGGCTGCACGTAACATCCGAAAGGGAAAAGTTTTCAGGAACACGTTTAGATGTCTCAAGTTTAGAACTGGACGAAAACCACCATCCTTCTTTGAAACGAGGAAGAAAGTTGAATAAAAACCCTCCCTTTGAAAGTGGGGATGAACTCTTTCTATGGCTCCTTTCTCTAGCAGCGAACAAATTTCTTGAGAGAGAGCTTCTGAACAGACCGGATCCGCTATTACTGTAGGGACAATCCTTGAAAATTTTGCGGGCCGGCGTCGAAACTGCAGAGTATATCCCCTGCTCATTGTAGTCCAAACCCAAGGATCTACTGTCATCTCCCTCCAGTACTGCAGGTGTAGACTTGAAAAATTATCGACCACCGGCCCAGTGCCTTCAAGCTTTGTGGGTGCAACTTTTAACAGCAGTGGGGGGGGGGCGCTAACGTGGACCCCCTGGCGAGTGCCGCTGATGAGGTCGAAAACCTTGAGTGTCCTCAGTAGCACGGGGCCTCTGTAACCCCTGAGGCTGTGGTGTAGAACGCTGACGGAATCGTTGCTCTGGTGTTGCAAAACGATGTTGAGCCTGAATGCCCGGCACCTTAAAAACAGAAGTGCGCTGAGCCAACTGACTAGTGGTCAACTGACAAGTGGTCTCAGACAATTTCCTCTTTTCCAGAAGCTCTGGGACACTGGGTCCAAACAGGTGACCAGGAACAATTGGGAGGTCTCGTAGTGTCTTTTTACAATCCTCTGGCAGTTTCGCCTGGGCGGGCCACACTTGTCGGCGGGCTGTCAGAAGTATGGCTGTAAGACTACCCAGTTCACGGGTGACATGGCCCATAGCCAGAAGCGCAGTTTGAAGGAATTGTGAAACCGAGGGGTCCACATTTGCCGATTCAAGTTTACTAGTTGTGGCGAGGAGTAATTGACATATTGTGTTCTCCGCACGAGTTATATACGCCGTAGACTCATATGCCTTTTTGAGTAACGAGTCTGTGTGACCGCACTGAGTACTGGGGCAATGCACATTGCCTCGCAGGGCCTCATCAGGTGACACCACAAGGGCAGTGACAGGTTGCTCTATTTCTGGAGCAAGGCCAACCCCAATGCTATCTGCATCCACCATAGATGTCAGTGTACGGGCGGTAAATAATTGATCTATCAGCGTTGAAAAAACACTAGCCACCGGATAGTCCCAAGAAGCACTTGGTGTTTCACAAAATCCTTATTTAGAGATAAGGTTAGCGGGGAACCGTAAACATATAAGCGTGGCGAAACACAGCCTCCGGATAGCACAGAAAAGCACAAGGCGTTTCACAGAATCCGATAAAGTGATAATAGCAGGGGACAGTCAATGTACCAACACGGGAAAAACACTAGCCATTGGATAGCACCGAGCGGCACAAAGTGTTTCACAGAATTTTATGTAAGAGAACTAAAAACTCTACAAACTCAGCGGGGAACCGTCAGTAAATTGATCGGGAACACTAGCCACCGGATAGTACCGAGAAGCACCAAGCATTATCGATATATCAACAATATATCCAATAAAGCAAAAAAAAAAACACCAATTCATTCGACAATCCAATCCAAAATGTGCTAATTGCTTCATAACATTGCATAAACTCTTTCTAAGTTGGAAAAAACATCCCTTCGGTGGAGGTGAATCCCACTGAAGCACTAAAGACAAATGAACTGGCAAGAGGTGGGCGCCATCTTAATAAAAACACCCGCTGATACTGCACCCCTGAGTGAAGTCGCACCAACCAGAACTGCTCCAGGGGCACTAAAGCAGCCATGCTAAACTCTCAGGTTAATTTAATCTCCCTCTCTAAGTTCTCTTTCGACTCGTTAAACAGATGGAGAGGAGGAATAAAGAGAACGGCTCTGAGGCGTTTGTGCTGGAGTAAGGTGGAGATGAAGATGCAGGATGGGTAATATAAAACAGCAATAAAAACACTGTATGATGTGCATGAGTGGAGGCAGAAAGGGAGAAATACAGTACTACTTTTTGTCTATGTGTGTGTGTCACACTCTGCCTCCAATTTTGTCCTTGTCGCATTTGATTGCGGAAGAAGCAGGAAGCAGCTGTGCAGACATTCTGAGGCATCTGCCTTATTTCTCCAAACCTTTTTTGCAAACACCATAAACTCTTCCACAGAAAGAACATTTCTCTTAGACAGTGTGAACGGTATTCAGCAGAACAGGTTTAAACACGCCACAATTCATGTGACTTTTAGAATCTTTTGCCTTTTTTTTTTTTTTTACAAAGTAAACTGTGTATTTGGACAATGCATTAATCACAGCAGTCAAAACAACAGAAGGCAGTAGTTTAGTAAGAGGTTTAGCCAAGTTTTGAAGTTCTTGAAGATGGTTATCAAGTATTTTGAGAATCATATATATCAAATACACCTCATAAAAGTTTTGGCTTTCCATTATTCTCTACTTCTTACCTACAGTTACAGTACAGTTTGTACTTGAAGAGAAATCCCTGAAAGCCTTGGAGTCAACCACTGCTCTACAACCAGCCAACAGATCAGGATGACCAGTATGGGAGACCAGCTAATACAAGTAAACCTACCTAGACTGGGAAGCAGGGAGTGTGGAGAAAACTATAAGCAAGCCATTTCTAGGTGGACTTCTTGAGTTAGAGTTATTGGCACAGAAATTACACACTGCACTTTAAAGGCACAAAGTTAAACAGGGATCTCTATAACTCTCCAGCTCACAGATCAGACTGTCTTGGCTTTAAAACAGCAACCATTGCAGTGCTTGTCAGGATATTTATCCACTAAGCTCCCCCTAACACCTTTGCATTGGCCTTTATCTGTATTAAAGAAGTGGACTGTGTGAATTGTGTACAGACAGGGCAGGAAAATATCCCCAGGCTTTAATGGATCTTTTGAAAGGTGTTTCAGTGAGAGAGAGCCTGTGTGAGAGCTGTTCTCTGAAAAAAATAGGATGGGTGTAATCAAAAACACACAAAAATATGCTTTTAGGGGTTTTAGTCAGAGCACACATTCATACACAAATACACAGAGACTTTCAGTTGCTTTATGAGTCCATTATGAGGCCAGATGCACAGTGGGAAAGGCTACCTTTCCATAGTCGATAGTGGGTGTCTCCACGGCAGGGAAAAGATCCTGGATGATCCCATTAAACAGTGGCAGCTCGATGGAGGTTAGTTTAGCGATGTTCATGTCCTTCATAGACATCAGCAGGATCTGAGGTCAAAGGGTAAGAAGAAAAAAATATTATGTTAAATTAGCTCAGCGCAGGAGTACATCTTCAAAGCTAAGCCAGGCCAGCTTCACTTGACCAAATGTCAACCTTAATTTATGGGCACGAAACTGCAAAACGAGCCTCAGATACATCTGAAATCCCTTCTTGCTCTTCGGCTATCAAAAGCGGTAGCCTTACTGCTTCCGAATGACATTTATTTTAACAAGCGTACCTTACACATACTGTATGTGAACCTTTAAATAAACATGGGGCACCTTTTGCATGGGTGATGATATTCAGGTAAAAAGAGAGAGAGAGAGAGAGAGAGAGAGAGAGAGACAGAGAGTGGTGAGATAAGCACACATGAGGTTTATGAGTCCTTTTCAACTTTTCTTTTAAGGTTTTGTCCCCTTTGATAAATTTTTTATCATAGCCAGAGAGGAGCACGTTTTAGTGACTTGTCCCTGTCATCATTAGCACATTCTTCACACACACACACACTGACACCACACACACACACACACACATAAAAACTGTCTGTTTTACTGAGTAAACACTGGGATGTATTCAGGTGAAGCAGGCCTCTGAGAGAAATGTTTCTGGATTTATTGGATGTTGCAGGTCTGTGTGTCTCACCTCTTCATCGACAATGTCAGGGCAAGCTCTGCGTTTCTTTCCAGCATAGCGAAGCAGAGAGGTGAGAGCCCTCAAGCCAAAGTCATAGTGGTCCTGTTTAGACAACTGCTGTACAGCCAAAGAATACAGAGTGAAGACCTTCTTAGCCAGCACCTGAGAGAGAGAGCAAGAGACAGAGATTAAAAGTGTAATATAATGTCTCTTTGAACAAAATACAATTAGAATATAATGAGAACAGATAGCATGAAACTGCATTCACAACCCATTAATATTCTCAAAGTGAAAATGAATAAACAGGGAAGAAAAAAGAAATTAGGATGAGAGCTAATTTTGTTTGTTGAGAATTGGTTTGATTGTGAAAAGTTTCACAGTAAGACCAGAAACATGCGGTTAGAAAGTAATAGTGTCTAAAAGGTTTTCAGTTCCTGTTGACATTAACATTAAAGAAATTTCTTATGGGAATAAGAAAATGAATTACGTGACCTTGAACTCCCACAGCTAATAGAAACCATGAAAAGAGATACAGCAATACATCTGACAGTAATACAGTAATACGTCAGGCAGACAGGTAGAGAAAAAGCATCAGAGGGAATGAGAGGAGTGTAATCGAACAAATTCAATAACCTTTATTGCATCATTTTTTCATCTACGAAGAAACAGAAGCCAAGAAATCAGAAAAAGTCAGAGACTGCAAGACCTCAACAAAACCACAATCAGCATGTTTTGTATTGTATGCCATTGTTTTACAGCAGGGGTTTTTGGGAGTTTTTTGAGGTAACTGGTATGGGTTTGTGAGTTGATGAAAAGCTAATAATTAATTGAAAAAACTAAACAAAAATAAATCATTTTAAAATCAAATCAAATAAATATAAACTTACTTATTAAAAAAAACATGAAAATATTTTATTTCTTTACCTGCATGTCATGTGACCATTAGCTGTCATCAGAGAACCATTATTAAATTATTGAAATATTAACTATTATTTAACTATTAAGTAGTAAAACAAATATTTCTGGCAAATGTAAAAATGCATAGGGAAAAATAAAAAGTATAAATGTTGGCTGGTCCAGTAAAAATCTGAACATGATTTTGCCAGGACAGAGAAGCTCTAAATTTGCTTCAATACATGTGTTAAATGCCCATAATGCAATTGCATGTCAACAATAATTCATGAAATATAATTGGAAAGACAATAATTGAAAGCACAATTGTTTTTGAATGAAAAATAATGACAGACAAACACAATGGGTGCAATTTATGTCTGTGATTGAGAGAGTGACAGAATGCAAAAAATTGCTGAAGCATAAAGGTGAGGGCATGTGTGTGCCCATGAATACCGTGAATATGTAACAGAAGAAAGCAGCGTGTGTGAGACAGGGTAACCGTGTCAGCTCCGTTTCCACACTGCCCACTAACAGTCTTACTTATACAGACACTAACGCACACACAGAAACACGCGCCAGAGTCACGCTAGGCTGAGCAGACTATGGACTCGCAGGGGACGGTCATCTCGCTGTCAGTTATGGCTCATAACACCAAGACCTGCACACTCCAGTGCGTCGGGGCAATACTCTCCCGCTCTCTCTCTCTACCATGGCCTAGCATTGATATGTCCATTTCCTTTCATTTGCAAAGGTAATAGTTCTCTCTCGCAAGCACGCGATGATTCTGCCGTATTGACTATGCAGTGGGGCGTCTGGATGAGGGCCGAGTATGCCGGGACAATCAAATCTGCCATTGACATTCTGTGCTTGGCTGGGGCCGGTGCTGGTTCCCTTCCCAGCTCTCTTAATCTCAAGTCCATTATTTGTAATTCTGAGTCCAATTCCCCATGCCAGCCTGCCGGGCCTGTGTACGGCATCAACAAATGAGGCTTCCCGTTTGGAGCGTGCAGGCAGGGGGAAGAGAGGGGAAGCAGCCAGTGGAAACTTGTGGGATTTGGTCAACCACAGGGGTGTGTGTTTGTGGAGTGTGTGTTTGAAGGGGTTGGCATTACGCGTTGGTCGGATGTCTCTCGCGCAAACGCGTGCGTAAACACACAATTGGCATGCCTGCTGCGTGTTGGAGGTAATCCGATGGCAGGATCAGCCCCCTGGAGGGTGTAAGTGTGTGTGTGAGCCAGTTCATCTGTGTTTGCCTAACTGTGTTGATCTCCTCCATCTTCAATAGAATCTAATATCCCATAGCACTCTCACCTCCTTCAGCTATAGTTTTCTATTTGTATACACTGAACTCGAAAAAATTACTCAATTAAAAATTATTAGTTGGTTGTGTTAGTGGTACGGACATGCATGATGTCTCAAATCTTGCTGCTTTATGAGGAGAGGTGTGCTATTACTGCACCAAGTGAAGCATACTTTGGACAATAAAATGGCTACATCATAAAGACTTGGTGTGGGCTTTTTTGAATTATGTTTGTAATTAACCACCAAGCAATCTCTCAGAGTACCTGAGAATCCATTTGGCGATGCCCTAGCAACCACTCAGAACACCATATTAGCAACCGCTCTGCAAAACCCTGGAAACCACTCTAGAATTGTGTAAAATATACACTACCATCCAAAGGTTTGGGGTCACTTCTTTTTCGTTTTGTTTTGTTTTTTTGAAAGAAATTAATACTTTTATTCAGCAAGGATGCATTTAACTGATCAAAAATAAAACAAAAATATACACATTTTAAATAATTGCTGTTCTTCTGAGCTTTCTATTCATCAAAGAATCCTGAAGAAAAAGGGTTTCCAAAAACATATTAAGCAGCACCAAATCAGCATTTTAGAATGATTTCTGAAGTATCATGTGATACTGAAGACTGGAATAATGGCTGCTGAAATCAGCTTTGCCATCACAAGAATAAACTATATATTAATATATAAAACAGATATTTTTAATCAAAATAATATTTCACGGCAGTGTTTACTGGAATATAACTAGAATATGAGAAAGTGTTTTAGCACTGACACGTCACCATTAAGTATTAGGCTTTAACATGGGAATAAAATGCCTCTCTTTTGCTCTCAAGGTTGTCAGTAGATGAGATTCTCAAATTAAAAGATCCTTTAAGTGTTCATTTTTTGTTTGAAATCGCTAGTGTTAATCATGATGTGTAACCATTTAAAGCTTAAAGAATTAAAGAACTTTCAGACTGAATATGAAGTGCTGTACGCGTACCTTGCAGTTATTGAAACCCTCTGCAAAAAGCGTGTCAACCACAGGGGTGTGTGTTTGTGGAGTGTGTGTTTGAAGGGGGTGGCATTACGCGTCGGTCGGATGTCTCTCGCGCAAACGCGTGCGTAAACACACAATTGGCATGCCTGCTGCGTGTTGGAGGTAATCCGATGGCAGGATCAGCCCCCTGGAGTGTGTAAGTGTGTGTGTGAGCCAGTTCATCTGTGTTTGCCTAACTGTGTTGATCTCCTCCATCTTCAATAGAATCTAATATCCCATAGCACTCTCACCTCCTTCAGCTATAGTTTTCTATTTGTATACACTGAACTCGAAAAAATTACTCAATTAAAAATTATTAGTTGGTTGTGTTAGTGGTACGGACATGCATGATGTCTCAAATCTTGCTGCTTTATGAGGAGAGGTGTGCTATTACTGCACCAAGTGAAGCATACTTTGGACAATAAAATGGCTACATCATAAAGACTTGGTGTGGGCTTTTTTAAAATTATGTCTGTAATTAACCACCTAGCAACCTCTTGGAGCACCTGAGAAACCATTTGGCGATGCCCTAGCAACCATTCAGAACATCATAGCAACTGCACTGCAAAACCCTAGAAGCCCCTCTAGAATTGTGTAAAATATACATCCTTTACCATCCAAAGGTTTGGGGTCTGTACTTTTTTGTTTTGTTTTTTGAATGAAAGTAATACTTTCATTCAGTAAGGATGTATTCAATTGATCAAAAATAACATTGTTACAAAAAAATCCATATTTTAAAAAATTGCTGTTCTGAACTTTCTATTCATCAAAGAATCCTGAAAAAAAGGGTTTCCACAAACATATCAAGCAGCACCAAATTATCATATTAGAATAATTTTTGAAGGATCATCTGTCACTGAAGACTAGAGTAATGATGCTGAGAATTCAGCTTTACCATCAAAGGAATAAATGATATGTTAAAATATATTAAAATATAAAACAGTTATATTAAATCGTAATAAATTGTAATAAAAAAAGTATTTTAGCATTGACACGTCACCATTAAGTATTAGGCTTTAAAATGGGGAAAAGGTGCATCTCTTTTGCTCTCAAGGTTGTCAGTAGATGAGACCTAATTCTAAATGGTTTAAAAGTGATCCTTTAAGTGTCCATTTTTTGTTTGAAATCGTTGGTGTTATTCATGTGAAACCATTTAAAGCTTAAAGAATATAGGAACTTTCAGACTATGAATATGAAGAGTTGTATGCATACCTTGCAGTTATTGAAACCCTCTGCAAAAAGCGTGATCTCAGCAATAAGGGTGGAATCTGGCACTACCATAGAGATCGGCCGAAACATAGACTTCAAATTATCAGGCAGCTCAGTGCGGCCAGCGTAGCCTACAGAAGAAACATACACACGCAGAAACAACAGGAACTGAGGCGATGAGAACCACAAACACAGACTGAAACACATATTACCAACTCTATAAAGATATTTCAAGGCATAGACCACCCAAAAATTTTAATTCTGTCATCATTTATGCAATTGTTTCTAGTCAATTTATTGATCCAGTTTACAAAAACGGTCTCAATGATTTGTTAATGAATCAGAAACAATGATTCAGTAATAGCGGCTAAAGTTACTGTATAGGTGAAGATTATCAACAACTAACCTTAACCCTTACCCATGTCAGTTTATTCCACATAAAGCTATCATATGGCTTCAGAAAACCTGGAAAATAACATGTGAGTCTATTTTTAAGCTACATTTTTGTCATTTAGGAACTTTGCAGCCTCAGTCATCATTTACTTTCAATATATAGGAAAAAAAAAAATTGTGTTTCACAAAACAAAGTAAGTTGATGTGATGGAAAAACATAATGGTGAGTAAATAATAACAGAATTTTCCTTTCTGAGTTAACCATTCCTCTTAGAACAACAACAAGCAGATTGAGTACCTGGGTTCATAGTGATGAAGATCCCACAAGACCAGACCAAGCTGATCTCTCTCCCCTCAAAGGTGAATTTGTTGAGTCCCGCAGACAGAGCAGACAGGATGGATAAAATCTGCTGAGCGACCACGGACAGCACCTCAATGTTTATACGGTTAAACTCATCAAAACAACCCCATGCGCCTGTCTGGAGAGAGAGACAAATGCACATATTCAACAACAATACATTAATTGTTCTTAGAGTTTAAGTGTTTGTATGGATGTAGTTTAATACATACCTGAGCCAGGCCAGAGTACATGCGGCCCATAGATTTGAAGTCCAAGCCTTCTGAGCAGTTGACCACAATCACGTACATGCCCAAAGATTTACCCAGATCTTTAACCGTCTCTGTCTTCCCAGTCCCAGCAGGGCCTTTGGGAGAACCGCCCCGGTGCAGATGCAGCGCTGTGGTAAGAGTCATGTAGCACCTACACCGAAAACAAGAACACTGTCTGTAATACATACAGTGCATATACTGATATATACATTATGACAGTTAGACATTCATACAAGCACTGCAGGCAAGAAACTACAGAAATAAAGTTCTAAGTAAGTGACAAAATTATTCTGTCACAATCATGGCTAGTTATGGCAAAAATATAGACATGCATGGAAGAGACCATATCTATCACTTTCTACTTCATCATGTTTTATTGACTTTCCAAACCATTTTACCCTTACAGGAGGATTTGTAACAATTTTGTTAACTTCTATGAAAATGTTTTAGCAATCCTTAGGGCTAGGACAGAAACAGAGATAGACACACTGGCACACAAACTGACATTCGCTCAAATCACATGCATCCGGAAGCACATACACACATGGAGAAGAGACAGACAGACAGACAGGCTTAAGCACATTGTCCATGTCCTTGAGTGGGCTTAAGATGTCACCCTCTCAACATAATAAACCCGGATTAGATCCTTCCTTTCATTCCACTGGATGCACGTTCTGTGCTGATTTTCAGCGGCCTCTGAAGGCACACAACAGGAAATCCGCCATTGACTCCTGACTCCTCTTCCTAGCAGGAATTGCTGCATAATTTCATGTTTCACATTTTTGCATTTTTGTTCTATTATCACACAAGAGACATCTGGAGCTCCTCTCTCTCTGCCTCTATGTGCAGATGTGCTCTGCTGATGGGGAGGTAAGATCTTGACTGATAAGGTTAATGACATGATCTCTGTCTCTCCCTCATAATGACTTGGATAATGGCTGAAGTCAGATAACGGCATCAGAGTCCCCATAATGATCATTATAAACCAGCTGATTGCATCAGTCAAATGCAAGGGTTGACTGTCACACAGGACAGGATATTGATATATCTAGCAATCTGAAAGTTATGGTATAATATGAGAGTGTAGGTGATTATATCTCAGCTGAAGGTTATATTTGTTGGTGGTTTTAATACTTCTACATACAGAGTAAGTCTAACACTACAGGCTTCACTCTGATTTTACTGTGTGTTCTCTGGTGAACTGGGGGAGCTGGTCATTTTTGATTTAAAGGTTCATTCTTAAAAAGCCTGACAAATTTTTATTTTTTGACAAACATAAGATGTATCAATGCCAATGGAAAACGTAAAAAAAAATCTGAAATGGATGAGTTGGACCAGAAAGTGAATTAAAGCAGACAATAAAGAGCCTGGCGTATAGAGGAAGCTTCCCGGAGTGCCCTTCGTAAAGATGATTGAGGGAATCTTTAGAGATGTAATTTATGAGTAGCTAATTTCTAAAGAACCTAAAATATACATTTCTAATTTGTTCAATCACTTCATTTTTGCTCACCACATAATAATCATACGCCTAATTCTTTACTTTTTATTCTAAAATGTGCAAATTAAGAAAGAAATGAAGTTCCCACTTTATATTGAGTGGCCTTAACTACTATGTACTTACATCAAAAAAATAAGTACAATGTACTTATTGTGTTCATATTGTAACATTAAAATTTACTTTTGGTATTTAGGCGGA